ACCACAGTAAACAACAAACTGTAAACAACAACAAACAGTAAACAACAACAACAAATAGTGATCAATAACAAACAAACACCAACAGTAAACAACAACAAACAGTAAACAACAACAACAAATAGTGATCAATAACAAACAAACACCAACAGTAAACAACAACAAACAGTAAACAACAACAACAAATAGTGATCAATAACAAACAAACACCAACAGTAAACAACAACAAACAGTAAACAACAACAACAAATAGTGATCAATAACAAACAAACACCAACAGTAAACAACAACAAACAGTAAATAAAAACAACAGAGAACAAACTGATCAATCTTTTCTATTTAAAACATGAAYGTTAGAAAGAGGCCAGGCAGGGATCAATCCTGTGACCTTCCTACTGTGAGGCAGCTGCTCTGACCACTGCACCATCGAGCCACCCTCATCTGAGGCTTTCAACCTTTCATTTTAAAGCTTTTGAAGAATTRAAGTCTAGAATGAGCTCACACTGCAGCACTAAAACTCACCACGATGCCTTCAGGCGCTGGAAAAAGCCCGTCTTCCTGTAAATTCAGGCGTCAGGGTCACATGACCAAAAGAGTCCGACCTGATTGGCTGAAGGGAGTAGGCTGTTTAATCTGAATGCTGGATCAGATTTAATAAAACTAAACGTTTCAATCTGGATTGGTGAATTTGTGATTGTTGATCAGTTTTAATTTCAGGAAGAATCAGAGGAGAAATGATTGTATCTGATGCAACATGTTGAACTAATCAGAACCTGAACCTATTCAAACAGACCCGGAGCTCTGAGACCTGCTGCTGCAGACTCTGACCTTGTGGGACCTCCTGTAGATCAGCTGATTGTCTCTGATGTAGAACCAGCACCTGGAACCAGTCAGAACATCTCAGTGATGCTACACATGTCACCATGACCACAGAGACCAGGGTCTGCAGGTCTGCAGGGCCGTACCTCTTCCAGGTCTTGGATTTCCTGCGGGAGCGTTTGAACAGGTAGCCCTGCAGGACGGGGCCGCTGTCACAACCCAGACTCATCAGTGGATCACCTGAAGCATCCTGCACAGAACCAGAACACATCAGAGTTTTACACAGCAGGTCAGAGGGTCCAGGGTCGTCAACAACAACAACAACAACAACAACAACAACAACAACTCAGGACAACAGCATATACTGCAATAATACAGAAATGGATGGATGGATCCTAACAGATGTTCTGACAGACCTAACAGATGTTCTGACAGACCTAACAGATGTTCTGACAGACCTAACAGATGTTCTGACAG